ATTTCTGGACTGTGCAGCGTTCATAAAGAGATGCCAGCCATGCCAGAAACATGGCAACTTGATCCACCAACCGGCCGAGCAGTTACATTGCATTCCCCCGGCCTGGCCGTTCGCCACGTGGGGGGCCGACATACTCGGGCCATTCCCACTTGCCAAGGGACAATGCAAGTTCCTCATTGTCGCCGTCGACCTATTCACCAAATTTTTAAATTTAAATTTTAAATTCTTAATTAATATATATGATAAATATTAGTTGATTTTTAAATATTTAATAGTTTTAAAAATTATCTAAGCCATACAAATATATAAATATTTTATTTTCATGATTAATTATGAAATAAGTATAATTTAAGCAATTTTATATTAAGTTATAATAAAATAATAAGATAAAAACGTGTAAAAAGAAGGAAAAAAAAACATGATGCAGATTTGATTTTAGACACAAATAAAATTTATTTAATTAGTCAATTCAATCTTTAGTCCACTATAACAAAATTTGTTATTAACGATAATTATTTAATAGTAATAATTTAATTTATCATATATAAAAATATTAAAGTTAATATATAATAGCTACTAAAAATATATTTATATTACATTAAAATTTATTATTAGCGATAATTATTTATTAAAAAAAACTTAAGTCTCACATCGATTAGAAATAAAATAATTAAATAATATATAAGTAAGTAATAACTATCACCTTACAGGTTCATTTTATAGGGTTGACTCCTAATTTACTATTCTAAATTAGTATCAAATCATCCATTATTACCAAATTCAATAGTTTTATAAAACAATTAGAGAGCAACTTTCACCTTATAAATCTCACATTTCTTAAAAGACAAGACAATTAAAAAAATAAATTAAAAAAATAAATTAAAAAAATAAGTTAAAAAATATATAAATAAAAGACAACCCTCGTCTTACAAATCCCACATCGAGTAGAGATAGAAAAAAGTATATAAGTTATGAATTTAGAAAAGGAAATTATAGGAATAAATTATTTAAAGTAAAGGAGACAATTGAAAAAAATAATTTTTAATAGCCTTTAAAATGACTACTAGAATTGCCACTAAAAAAATAAGTTTTTCCGACAATTTAGTAGATCTTTACCGGCATTTTATATAAATATCGTAATAGTATTAGCGACACTAGATACACCAGCCTTTATTTAAATGCTGGTAAAAAAAATAATGGTCATTTATATGGCCGCTAAATAATAAATTAATTACCACAAAAAATTAATTTTAGTGTAGTGGTCAAATCCATTTAATTAAAAAATATATAATATCATAGAAAATGTAAATGTTATATTCTATACAGTTTGATAAATGAGTTGTATAAATTTGTTCACAAAATAATTGAATTCATTCTAACAAAGATAATATTGTATTCTTCGACTAATTATTTTAAAAATTAAATTATAAAAATATATAAAATAAAAAAAAATAAGACAAATAAAATAGTTGTACATAATAATTGGACTTTCAACAAAATTCTTCTTTCTTTTTAGTCATGCATTTTTATTACATAGACAAAACAAATCACTCATATAAAAATTACATCAAAAATAAGTAATTTATTTCAATAGTTGATAGTACAATATTATAAAACTTGTATAAAATTATTTATTTGACTGACATGATATTAACCATAATAAATTTTTTTAAAAAGGATAAAAAAAAGGATTGATAATTAATTTTTTTTTAAATTATATTACCATGCATAAATTTTTAAAAAGGATTGATAATTAATTTTGTAATCCCAAAATTAAAGTTTGACCCCAACTTATCTTTAATATATAGGTTATTTTCAAACCTTTGAATATGCATTGTTGAAAACTTTTATAAAATTAGTTTATAATATTTCTATTGAAAGTCAACAATGACAATATTTTGTTTTTATTTATCATACTGTCCTAGATTTTAATATATAAAAAATTAAAAACCTAAAAGAAACAAATGTTACTAAAAAAAACTAACATATTTTAAAAAATAATTTTTAAATTTTAGATAGTTTGATAGATTAAAAAATATTTTATAATAGAATTATTTTCTAGTGAAAATAATTTTCAAATCTCGTGCTTATTCTAATAATTATTTTTGTGACTGACATATTTAAAATTTTTCAAATAATTTGATAAATTAATTTTTTATAATAAAATAAATCCATGTTCCATATACCTGTTCTAAGCATGAAGAGACTCCATAATATAATAATTAAGCAATTGTTATTCCTTGAATTAGCTTTCATTGTTTAAATAGAAGTCATAGCACGCAGATTAATATCTTGAATAAGGTGAAGAAAAAAAATATATCAGTCAAAATTAGATGACAAGAATTTTAAAAATGGTGGTGATGACTTTAAAGAAAGCAAAAGGTAAAAGTTTAAATAATGAGTTTAGTTACAAAATAAAAAATATTTTTTATGACAATTTCAGTTAGGATTTCAAACAAGTTTTTATTTTTAAATTAAAAAATTAAAAATTTAGAAATCAAGTATTATGAAAATTTGCTAGCCTATTTCATATATATATATATATATATATATATATAAAAGATCATATTTAATAATTAAGAAATATTTTTGAATATTCAAGATTAAAAAAGTTATTGATAATTTTTAATATTCTATATAATCATGAAAGGAAATTGGGAAAGAAAAAAAAAGTAAGAAACCGGGCAAAGATAGAAAATAATTATTAAATATAGGTATATAAGGCAAGGAAGAGAGAATAGAGTATGATAGATAGAAAAGACAAAAAAAAAGCCTAAAAGATTGGAGAGATAAAAGATATATAGATGAGACAAGAAAAAATATATATAAAAATTCTCAAATTTTTACTTTTTGTAATAATTTAAAATTTTATTATTTTAAAGAATTTTACAAATACTTAAATTTTAATTTTTTTAAAAATTTTCCATTTAAACAAGACAATTCATCCCAAAACATTTAAAATTCTTAAAAGAAATTATTTTATTAAAAAATTTTCATCGGAACACATTAATTTTGGAAGATGTATAATTTTTCATCTAGATAACAAAGGCGAGAAAGATTTGAAAAGAATCATAAAATAAATCCATGTTCCATATACCCTGTTCTAAGCATGAAGAGACTCCATAACTTAATAACTAAGCAATTATTATTCCTTGAATTAGCTTTCCTTGTTTAAATAAAAGTCATAGCACGCAGATTAGTCAGTCTGTTTGAAGGCCAAGAAACAAGACAATCAAACAGATTTCAGTACACGTTCTGATGCACAGGAAAGCATAATGAGGAGAACAAATTTCTTTACCTAAAGTAAGGGGAAAAATAAGATCAACAGCAGCATAAGTATTTCTTGCAGACTTCTCGCGGAAGCGATTGAAGTGTTGTTTTTGCATTCCATCATTCATTGCCCTATGAAATTTGCATTTATTATTTTTGACCTATTAATAATTTTTTTTGGATTATAAAAAAAAGTTATGAATTAATTGGTTTTGCCATGTGAGGTGTCAAGACCATATAAATGCAAAATTCCGAGGTCTAAAAAGAATTTAATGATAACTACAGCAAACAAGGGAAGGAAAAAAAAGGGCAAACTTCCCCATAAATGCAACATTCAAGTGCAATAACTGTTTCAGTTTATAGTTTACTTGTAATCTTTTACTTTTAAAACTCTGAATTCCCACCATCCATTTAGATTGAAGATAGTCAACCAAAACACAACAATAAAAACATGATTAAAAGCGAAAATTTCATTAAAAATAGTCGGTCAATTTTCTGACATAAATTAGTTATATATAAAACTAAGAAAATTTTTATACCGATCACATAATTACTCAAAAACAATAGATTGAAGACAAGATAGTCTAATAGTAAAATTTAGAATGATAAAAATAAAAAAACAAACTAATCCAAACCATTAAGAAAAAATTAAAGATAAATGGTTTATTTTTATTCTTAATATATAGATCTTCCCAATAAATTTCAGGACATGATATAACTGTTTTTGTCAGTCCTGGCCCTTGAGGGACCACTGAGTTCCTTATTATGACTCAGTCTGTAAAATGGTCCCAACATCAGCACTCACCACTCCTTTTCAATTTTCCTCCCCACTTTAATCCAAGGAATGATTACAACATATTATCATCATACTACAAAATCATGAAACATATGAGGTGAACTGAATCTTTGGCGCTGGTTTCCAGCACCAATGCACTCAAGTTCTGCTGTCTCTACTCCTACAGTAGAATCTGCAGCCGCACTGTAGATTTCATCCTCCCTCATGGAAACCAAACTAAGATGGCTCTCACCACCCTGCAAGCCTAATGTTAGAGACACTCCACTTCCTGACTTGAACCTCCCAACCTCTGACATTTGGCATGTTGGACCAACTGCCACAAGCCTGTCATTAGGAAAGACACCACCATCATCCAAATTTTGCCTTTGCCCCTTAGTTTGATTTACTAATCTTTGTTCAGTGTGAGCCTCATGATCTCCACGTATGAGACTAGCAAAACCAGTGGATGTCACAATTTCTGTATCAATAACCTCATCATATCTGAGGTCCTTAGCTTGTACACCACTGTGATTTGTATTGGCTACTGTTGGACTTTGACATTGCTGTGAATCAACATCCATATCATTGGATGTCTTGACATCACTTTTTTTTACCTTGGACACATTTTCAGATGAAGAACTAGATTCCATGTCAGCATCACAAGTCTCTTGCTTGTACATCTCCTCGATCATAGGTTTCCATAGACGCACACGCGCATTTATAAACCAATTTGAGACCTAATTCAAGCAAAGAGATGTGCATTGCTAATACTTAAAACGAACACAAAGAAGCACTATCAATGAAGTTGCTAAAAACATTTTTTTTTATATTGTCTTTCTACCTGACTTCTGGTCAAGCCTGTCTGTCTTGCTAGCATGATCTTATCAGAATCCTTTGGATAGCTGTGAAAAATAGAAAATGCTAATAAGATTAAATAAGCACAAAGGTCTTGGATCAAGAAGTTACAAAAACAAGAAAAAGACCAAGGTTGATAGGTTTACGGATGAAGGAAATGCTCAAAAAGCCAAGCACGAAGAATTGAAACAGAGCTTTCTGGAAGCCCCCTTTGTGGTCTCCATGCATGTTGCATCATGCCAAACTGCTGAAGAGCCCTCTGTTGTCGGATTTGTTGGTCCACATACTTTAGTCTTGCCATTCCAACTCCTTTATTACTTCCAGAAGCATCATGCTCTCCAAGGTTCTTTTGTGTTGCACTGATTTGACCACTGATTGCATCACGCAAACACCGAAAATGGCATGAAATGGTTTGGAGAGCAAGAGCTGTGTATGGTTTAGCTGCCCCACAACCTGCTATCACATCAAATGATGACACCACAATCTGCATCTGATGATAATATTGTTTGTACCTATTGTCAACCTACAGCAATTGACAGGTGGCAATTAAAACTGTATTATTGCTACAAAGAAGAGCAGAATGAATGTCAGTCTTGGTGACTCTATCGACTTTGTGGATATGACTGTAAAATCAGTATCAGATACACAATCTTGTGTACTAAATTACACATAACAAGAAACAATGAATGTGAATTTTACTTTTAGCATGTGAGAAAAATACATCCAGCAAACAATACAAAGACAAAAAATACAAGGAGGAAATGACAATTAGTTCTACTCGAATCATCTTATGTTCATTATTACATACCAGGACAGGTTTGTTATCAGATAGATATTAGCCATAAAAGATATTATCACTTGTAAGGATGTGAGAATTTAAATTCCATCTTTCACTCCCCAAGCCAGCACGCAAAGCACAAAATAGATCCAAACTTTGCATTTATATTGCTTTGACATATTCCTTTTTCATACTTTAAGGTGCTTAAACCACTGTCAAGTCATTATCAATATACAGAGTGGAACAAACTTAAATATGTGCTGTCAATGGAAGAAAATCGATCTCCATTATCACAGTTTAGTGTGCATTTATTTAACAAATGCTGAAAGCCTGAAACACAAGGACATAAACACAGGAGAAATGGAGGTTATAATAGTCAACTTGGGGAAGATTACGGCCACTGAACGCTCTGAGAAAATGTACATTTTTCTTTCAAAGATATATATTGTCGTGACCAACTGTTTGAAGAAATCAGAGTTACAGAAGTGTGGGAATCTACATAAACAGGTCTTACCTCATCCAACATAGAAAAAAGTGTAGTTAACTTGTTGTGCATATCTTGTTTTTCAGCATGTGAAAGCTCACAAGAGGAGTTACTGGCTGAAGCTTGAGAATTAGGCACTCCATTTGCAGAAGGCCTTTCATTTTCTAGTTGCTCATCACCCTCCTTAGAGTTCTTCTTAGAGTTCTCAAGTGCGCTATGACTTCTCATATCAGGTCTTTTAATAGCTTTTCGGATGTCAACAACTTCATCAAGCAGTTGTTGCACTGCCTTGAGGTATTTGGAGCTAGGAACTGTTCTTCCAACACTAGACATTTCATGAAACGAAAAATCCGCCCTGCCCAAATCTTGACTAGCTTCAGGTAACCCAAGTTGAAAGTTTTCAGAATGTCTCATACCCTCATCCTTAGATGAGCCACTTTGGTAGGCCTCATTGCATGAAATTGATGGATTAGTACCCAAAAATGAATCAAAACTTGAACTATGATGCCTATTATGGATAGAAGGCATTTGAATGTGGGTTCCAAGGCTAAGAGACAATAATCCCTGACCTTGTAAGTTCTGTCCATCCATAGGTTGTCTAACTAACATCTCACTCCTACCCTCCCTCCATGCATTCAAATCATGAATATCGGATTGGAACCCTCCCATATTAGCCAAGATTTCCTGCTGTTCAGGAGTGGAATGTGAAGCACCTACTGATGGTGATGGAATCACAAAGCAGTTACTTTGCTGCTGAGAATTGCCAGAAAATGCTTCAGAATATGAACCAGAGTTCATATACAATGTCATACTGCTAGGCAAAATTGGTGTCTCGGAATACGAATTAGGCAAAGGCTCCCTAAGACAAAGCATAGGCACTGCATCCCTTTGATTACTTGAACTTGTGTAGTAAGTTGCCATAATTTTAGGACAGTGGAAACCAACTGTTCGAAAATCCTAACTTAGATTAAGGGGGCTCCTATAAGTAAAAGCAGTAAACAAACACGTACACAATTTATTTTGTTAGGTAAATGAGACAAATGGAACTTTTCTGATTCCTGGAAGCCACAGAATTGATGGTTGCTTCAGGGTTTGGAATTTCAGATTGTCCAATACTGAAAGTTGAATGGCTCCTGAAGAGATGTTTATGTAGTAACATAAGCATTAGCATGTCGCGAACACCATGCTTCAATTGCAGATCTTCAATCTCAGGCATCACAGAGAAGAATTAAGCTTGAAAAGAAGAAAAGAAAACTGAAAAGTCACTAGCACGCCAATAAATGAAAAGGAAAAAAAGCCACTAAACAAACCCACATTCATGTAAAAGTTGACTAAAACAAAGATGCTTGGGGACCAAACTTTGGTTTGTAAACTGAATTCCAGAAAAAATAAATAAATAAAAAAGGAAACTTTTGTATCCCATGAAAGAGGGTTGCAGAGGATAAGTACCCAAGAAGAAGAATGTATGCTACTGTGACTGAGTTTCTCATTCTGAGTCTTTGTTTGGAAGCAGAAAGGAAGGAGAGAGCAGGAGGTTCAGTTCTCATGAAAGAAGAACGAGTGAGAAGAAGGAAAGAGAAAAGGTGGGGCCAAGTAGCTTCAATGAAGATTCAAATTCATTATTCATAGTTATGGTGAAGAGTGAAGAGTGAAGAGTGAAGAGATAAGAGAGAAAGTGAGTTAGCAGTGTGGAGTTGGGTTGACATAAACATAATGCTGCCCTGTCTTTGGGATTGGTGCAAAATCACTGTTGTTGTTCGGAGCGCCTTCCACTTGCGTCACACTTTACATCAAAGTATCCAAAAAAATCACACATCAAACACTTCCACTAAACCAACTTAGTTTTTTTTTTTTTTTTAATAGGCATAACCATAAAATAATACTTTTATTAATAAATAAATACCTGAAATTATATATCTTATCATGTAGGCAGGGTGAGTGTAACAGGTTACTCTAGTGATTGAGTGAGAAAAAATTGGGATAGTTAAAAATATGAAGATCTAGATTCAATTCTCATTGTGACTATTTTTATAATCTTTCTATCTTTATCAAAAAAAAATTATTACAATAATTTGTTGGTACTTCCGCACTTAAATATAAAAATCAAATATTCAATTCATCTACATCAGTAAAAATAATTAAATTAATTATTTATAATTAATAATATCATAATTTAAAATTTTATTCTAAAAATATTTATAGTTAAATGATACAAGCAGTAGATATATTTAATGTACTATTTAAAAGTTAAAGTATAATTCTTTTTCAAATGAGCATAATTTATGGTGTTAATTGTCTAATGGATTTACTTTAATAAAAAATGAGTAAATAACGATTTATAATAAATTAAAGAATTATTAATTAATATATTTAAGACTATACTTATATTTCTTATAATTAAGATCAACTCATATTTATTACTTATATATAAAAAGGAGGTAATATTATCTAAATTTAATTTGATTACGATCTAATAAATTTTTTAAAAAATAATTTCATTACTTTAAACTCGAATTTATTCTCAATTATGTGTGTTAAATAGACACTGACATTTTATAGGGTAATAATTAACGCTCTCTTATGTTTATCTACGTCGATGTATAATTATTTATGTAAATAAATGTGATATATTTTATTTAAAAATGATTAAAATAACCTACATCGATGTATAATTATTTATGTAAATAAATATTAATTTTATTTAAAAATAATTAAAATAATCACAAAAATTAAAAGAACCACAAAATTGAAGTACGAAAATATCGATCAAGAACTCAAAACTAGTCGAGAACCAGTCTAGAAAATTAGGTTGAATGGTTTCTTTTAAAAAAATATTTTTTTTTCTAAAATTATTTAAAATTATTTATGATAAATAAATATTTTTAATAAAAAATTATAAATTCGAATAAATTATATTATTTGTTATTTTTAATAAAAAATTTATAAAGGTATAATTTAGTTGTTTATATTAATTTATAATTTTTTATATCATGATATTTTATATGTTAAATTATATTAATTTGGAATTTTTATTTTAAATTTAAAATTAATATATATATATATATATATTATTGTATTTTATTAAAATTTTAACATAAATATTATATTTAGACTTTTACATGCACTTTAAAAAATAAAATATATAAAATAATTTTATTTTAATGTTTTAGTATTATAAAATTATAATATTATGATTATGTAATATTATTTTATGTATTATTTATATATTATTATTATTATTTTATTGATGAAATTTAAACTATTGAATTCTGAATCAGTGAGTGTTTTAATTAATTTGATAATCAGTCTGATTTTAAAAATATTATTTTATATAATTATCAATGAAGTTCGCTTAATCACTTGTGAAACAAAATTAATTATTATTTTACATTTCAATTATATACATTTTAATAATCTTTATGACTCTATTATCAACATTGATAATTGCATACAAGTGATGCCAAAAAAATGATGTAAATAAAAAATTATTGACACTTGTTTGTATAAGCGATTGGTATCTAGCTCCCATTGAATTTTAAATTAATTGCATATGTACTTATTTTTTGTTGAGTTTTCATTTTATTTCTTGTATGGATGTATTGTTTGGTTAAGGAGATGAATCCCTAAGTCCCTAACAACCAATTGGTAGATCAGACCTAAACCATTTCATAAAACTTGTTTTCTATTCTCTCTTCAATCTCTCACTTCGCTTTGAACTATTTGCTGCTGAGCAAGATAGAGTTTTGCTGCTCATAAACCATATTCTAATCATATTCCTGCCAAAACTTCCCATGTATTATGGTATTGTACGTGATGCATGCATGTTAGTTTTATTCATCTACTGCCTCAACACGAGATATAGGGTGTATTTGTTTAAATTTAAAAATAATTTTAAAAACAAACATAAAAGAAGAATATGATTCAGGCCTAAAAAAAAAGGCAAAAAAAATTACTTATTTAAAAAATAGACAAATAAAAAATAAAAATGCTTATTTTATTTTAAAAGAAGTGTTATTGTAATAAAAACAAATTAAAAACAAACCCATAATAAATAAATAAATAACGCGAAGCTCATGAGTCATGATTAGCAATGAGTAAGGACAAACACGTGGGGATTTGAGTGCTATCAATTTTTAAAGAGTAAACATGGGAATACCGAAATAATTCAACGGTCAACTTATTTAGTCAGTCAAAATAGATTTAAATGATATACAGGAGACTTCAAATAATACGGTAATATATCAAATTTTATTAAAATTAAATAATAATTTAAAAATAATTAAAGTGTTCATATTTTATTATATTTTATTAATTTTATTTTATAAAAATAAAATATCAAATCATTTTAAATTAATATAAAATTTTATACATATAATTTAAGAGTGAAGAACTTTCAATTAAACGGTTGGATTATAATTTTGTAAATCCAGTAATTGAATTATAATTTCATATCACTTTATATGTTTATATCAAATTTTGTTAAAATTGAACAACAACTTAAAAGTAATCAAAGAAATTTTATTATATTTTGAAATGTATATATTACGTTAATTTTGTTTTATAAGAATAAAGTATCAAATTATTTTAGATTAATAAAAAAATTTATACATATGATCTAAGAGTAAAGAACTTTCAATCTAACAATTAGATTTACAAAATTCACATTTAATATAAAATTATTAAATGGTGTAATACTTACTACAAGTTACACTGATGTCGTTTGAACCCTTCTTTTATATATATATATATATTGATCAAGAAGCGC